AACGATTCTATGATTCTATGATTCTAATACAACCTGGGAGTAGGGAGGAAGAGGGTATCTGCACTACAATAAGTGCAGATATACAGTGTGACAACAAGTCGTCAGCTGGTGGCTAGAGAACTTATCAAACTGAGAACTTATCAAATGACTCACTTTTTCATACCCTAAACAAGGCAAAAGCAGACTATGTAGGGAACGTAAGAAGAGAGAAAGTAGACAACATACTCCACCCGAGGAGTGGAGCCACACTCCATCCCAGCGAGTACAGCCACACGACAGCGATGATCTGCATGGTGCGTTTCTTTGAAGTCCACTGTATGGATCGTAGGGGCTTAGTGATCACAAGGTAACGGTCAACAGAAATAGCTAATAAAGTCATCATGGAGGTTATTCCGAAAAGTGCCCCACAGAAAGCATACAAGTCACAGCCTAAAGCAGAAAATGGCAAAGTCAGGGATTTTCTTAAAAGACGCACATTTTCTCTCAGAGCCTGACATAATGAACCTCCTATTTTTTCCTAGCTCAGGACTTCTCTGCTATTAAGAGAATTAAGGATTTTCTTAGCCTATTTCGTAATTGTTAAGAATTTATTAGAAAAAAAACCCCACAAATATTGACAAAACACAAACACATGTATTTAACAAATCCTACTCTCCATTGCAGGCTGCAATTGGGAACCTTTTGTCAATGGAAAACTGCCTCAAAGAAAATTCAATCTAATTAAAGTTACATTTTCCTGGACTGTTGCCCGATATATTGATCTTAACAGGCTGCAGCAGACATCCGTCTGCTAATGACAAATGGATGTTTTGAAAAATTACTTTTTGGTTTATGTGGCTTAAAAATGTTGGAGTCATTTAAATTTGATGGTTAAAAGACCAGCTGTAAAACATAGCTCCAGCTCCTGTATTTAGCAGCAGCACTTTAGAAATTCTGACAGTTTTTACATGAAAGAGTTTTTTCTTTTCTCCCCCCTCTTTGCATTCAGGCCTGTGCTAGCAGATGAGAATTTGCAGAGTTACACTGTCCCTATTTTGATTCAGAAACCTGTGTCAAATGATCGTTCATTTTCTGAGATCTTGCATCACCCCATGCAGTTATAGACAACAGCCCACTGGAAACGGGAGGCAGTCGAAATACCAGATTCAACCTTAAAGCAGATTTCTTCTAGAGTCTTTACAAGTAACCTGCAATTAAGGACCAAATCCCACTCAACCCAATTCAATTGCTTCATTTGTGGCAGCATGATAATCTACACTGATTTTATCTAAGGGGATGAGCAAGACTAAAAACATCCTCAAACTAAAGAAGAGCCCCTTCTGTGCTGCTAAATAATACATGGTCTCTGGGCTTGCTCCACCAATACACAACCGCTACTTGGCGCAAATTTTCACCCAATGATCTGATGAGCAGTACCAAGCAGAGCATTGAGCTTTCCAAGGAACTTGCTATACTCACATTTCAGCTATAGTTGGAGCATGCATCAGTTTTTATTTCTTGCAGTTGGAGAGAAAGGAGCTTAGATTTGCAGAGTCCTCAACTGACTATCGTTATTTAAATCTCTTAATTAAATACAAGATTCTTAGAAACATGCTAACGGATATCAACATGCATTTCTAAATAAAAACATTAACTCCCTCTGACTAACACAGAAAAAAATATTTACGATGTAATAAAACTTTTCTACCCATCTTCAGCCATAGCATCTGACCTTACAAGCTAAAGGGTTACATGATTACATGCTGATGTTGACTCCTTTCTTTCCAAAATAAGCCAGATGAAAGAATCAAACCTATAACACAAAAACATATGCCATCATGCTAACTAATGATGTCAAGAACCTGGGTTGTTGCTCAAGAGTCTTGTGCTGCTGTCTCCAGGGCATAAGCCAAGACTGTTTCTGCTAAAATAGGCTGCAGACAGTGTAGAGTTGGTGAGGTAGGAATTGGTGTTGAAAAGTACCTATATCTCCAAGTATCCACTCTCTGTGCAAGCTGTTGACAAAGCACATGGGTGCCTGAGAAGCCGACATCAGGAAGTCACTCACAGCCAAATTCATTATAAAGTAGTTTTGAGGTGTCCTCAACTTCTTGTTGCTTAAAAACATGAGAAATATGTGATTTTAAATAGACAAAGTGAACAGTTATATTTATAACTTCGCTTACTACTATAAACAAATACTATCCAGGTTGGAATCAGTGGTTACTTACAGTCAATCGATTGCAAATCATCAGTCAATTACTGCAGCTACACATGTAGTCATTTCAAAATGGTGACTGACAACGGCAGGGGGATAAAAGGGATTGTTTCCTCTTCAAACTTAGGAGAATTCCAGCTGTCTTGAAAAATATGAATTTGTTCAGGAGAAGAGCAGTTGCCTATAAGAGCAGTAACACTGAGCGTGTCCTGCGCTACACAAGACCAGGATCTGAAGCAGGTTACAGAGCCGAAGGACCTGCTTTTGGTGAATTTTTAAAAGCTGCTGATCTGAAGAGTCACCACATATTACCACTAACAAAATGATCCTTTGCAAAGCGCTACGGCACAAGCAGAGCACACACAGAGATTTGAAAACAATACTTTTGTTCATATACACCTCGTAAGAGAGAACAAAAGCACTCAGCTGCCGATGAACAGGCAACGTTAAACATCGCAACAAGGAGGGTGAAAGCAGCCACCAGTCTGCAAGCAAAGTTTATCTGAAGAAAACAAACATCACTTTCAGTTTTTTTTCCCCCCACATCTCACCACCTAACGTAGTCTCACTTCTTAGGGGTATCTGGCATTTCAACCTCTCGGAAACTTTCAGCTGGTATTCAAGACTACGCTTGGCTCTGGCTAAGAGAAATAAAGATACTGGTAACATGATAAAGGGCCTCTCACTTTTACTGTTTTGTTTTGTTTGGGTTTTTTTTTTTTTGTAGAACATGCCTTTGTTACTCCTATCAAAGCTTATGTCCCACTAGGAAAATTACAATAATTTGTGAGGTCAGCTGACCCAAATTTACTGCCACTTTTGAGGGCTATACTCAGAAGGTGTAACACTGAACTAGTGGTCCCTCAATGTAAACCACTGTATTGGTTGCGTGGCCAAGTAAACAGCTTTGATGGAGTTTGAATTCAGGGCTTTTCACAGTGTCAGGTACATATAATACAAAAAGAGATGACTTGGCACTCTCTGTGAGTCATGGGAAGGGAGCAGGATTTTATGAATAGCTTTGTTCTTGGAACCTGAATACAGTAACTCTCAATAGTTTGAAGTAGTTGTTTCTTTTCACCCAAATGCTTCCTTCAGTGTAGAAAGTTGACCTTCTAAGCTTCTCTGAGTTACTTGCAGCTAACATGAATTTCATTCTTCATATTAATAAATACTGACAAAGAAATTGAGAAATTAATCTCAATGCTGCTGCAATTCAAACAAAATCTTGAGTATCATAACTGCCTGCAACAGCTGGGTGAGAGGGGCTGCAGAGTTCACACCTTCACAGGTGCTTATCTGCCTACAGAGATTTTCCTACTTCGACAATTTAGTGCTTTTATTACATCAACTAAACCAAACAAATTTCAATAAAAATGGAGAGCTTGCACTGCATTTCAAAAATCATGAAGGTATCTACAGCTGCAGGGAATTCAGTGTCTCATATTAAAAGCCAGTTAATTCAGTTTAGTTATTCAAAACAACTAAACTAATTTATTCATCTTAAATGTTTAAGAATAAGAAACTAACACGTGGTTCATTACCCCACCAGTGCTTCTAGCACTGTTAGCCCCCTCCTCTGCGTCACCATGCATGATGACAGCAAGCAGTGAGCAAGAGGATTCAGAAATCCAGCATCACAATGTGGAGCAGAAGGTGGCTATTTATTTTTTTTCCATGAGATTTTTGCGTACTCTACGTGCAGTAGCTTTAGCTGTCTATTATACTGACAGAGGCCAAGAGAGCACACAAACTGACAAATCCTGTGATCTGCCTGAAGCAGGGAATACACTGATGGCATGAGCTCATTTCATGTAGCTCATTGCTTTCTTGGTCCTTCCAGGACATCTGGGTTGCTGGGAAGAACGTCAGTTTTTGTCAAGTATTTCTGCAAATTCTACAAGGTTAGTGAAGAAGTCTGCAAGAGGGAGACTGTGGTTTCTATCTATTTTAAAAGTATTAAACTCTTCTTTAAACTTTCAAGTGGAATTGTTTACAGAACAAGGTATTTGTTTTCCTATTTTCTTTCATTCCTTAAAACATGAGGAATTTACACTGAGGTTACCAGTGATGTGCGTGAATGCATGTGGGGGGGGTTGCACTTCTCCTCTCATTTGTTGCTATCAGCCTTTACTTGGAGGTTTAATCCAAGAGGAAACAAGTGCAGAACATCTGCACACAGGCACACATGAACCTCAAGGCCAGTCAGATGAACTGTAAAATTAATTTTTGTACCTGTAAAACGCATAGAGAACTAGGAGGTTTCCGATGATGCCAATGGAGCCAATGATGAGCACACACGTTCCTACGGTGTAAAGGACGTAGTCGGGGATCTCTGCCTTGGTCACAGCGTGCAGTTGGGTGCCCATGTTCAAATTCTGCATGGAAAATAGAGAAAAAAGAGAACTTAGCCTATTCAGGATGCTTATCACATGGGGACACATGCTCAGCCTATTGAAGGAAGGCACAGCACTTGCTTCCACCGTTCATGCAAATCAAATACACATCTCTGCACTCTTTTCATATCCTCTGCTATCAAGTTTCCCCCAAACAGCCTTCATTACTTTATTTAACAGTACAGGGTTGTATTAAAAAAAACCCAAGCAAACGAACAACCAAACAATGAAGAAAAACTAGAAAAAATATTAAGGGAGTTACAATGGTGATGTGGAAAAGGCAAAGATGTGCTAGCATGAAACTTGCTCTGGGTAACTACTGCACTTTGGGGTGCAGAGCTAGCTGACAACACGAACTTAAGTTCAACAAGGAATAGCCCATCATACTTTGGTTTTATTAGGAGCACAGATACCACATGAAATACCCCAGGTCTCCCCAAGCTCCCTATCCATTGACTTACAGTGCTGCAAAACCTTGGAATTCCCCCTGGAAAAGGTAGGAGACCAGAGGAGCAGCAGGAGCATTGCCTGTATAGGCACCAATACATTAAATAGCCTTGACCTCTTTCACTGCCCTTTATCTTCAGCACATGAATAAAACCCCACCAATTCTCTACTTTTTTTTTTTTTTTAAATAAATTCAGATTTATCACTGGCTAAATTCAGCAGCAGGACAGCCTACAGCTAATCCACTCAGCTCTCATTAGCGTTATCAACGAGAAGAATCCAAAGTGCCCGATGGAGTTTCTTATTTACCAAGTCAGCAGCAGCCACGCAGAGTGCTCACACACGCGGTCAGATCAGGACAGGTCAGTCAAAGGTATGGCACCTTGTCACCGCTGAGGACCTGCTCCTCATCGCCACGCTTCGCCGCTGCGACGCTCAGTGATGTGCAGGGTGTGGGACAGGGCTGATTTTGGCCTGTGGGAGAGGAGCTGGGTGACAGAACAGGTTCAAGACGATAACTCTTGCCCCAGTGGTAGCATTTAAGTGGCTATTTGAAAATGATGAGAACAGTCTTTCCCCACCACTCCCCTGTTGCTAGCTCCTAATCTTCCATACTGCTGCTTCTCCTTTCCATCTTCTGTTATTCCTCGCTCATCTAGAAGTGCACGCAATACAGCTCCTCCCTTGTAGAACAGGCCTGGCTGTGGGCATTATCCCCTTACCCTTGCAATCCCACTGGGGTACTCCCCGGGGCCGGTGGTGTTTGGCAATAGAGAGTGCCCGGCGAGATGCACAGCATGCCTGCAGCACCCGCAAAAGAGCAGGTCAGGAGCAGAAATGGTGACAGCAAAGCTCCTGGGCTTGAAGTGATGTTGTAAATGACATAAAATCTACGGCTTCGAGGTGAAAAGTTTTTTTCAAGCTTTCTCCGTAGCCTGACAGGCTTTACCTGTGATAGGATGGCTACCGCCAATGCGACACTTCACCAAACATAACATCCTTGCGAAAGTAGAAAGAAAGGAAAGGGAGAGTCTGCTGGTACTGGCTGCACCAGGGGGCTGTCACTGCCATTCCCAGTGATTAGGCAGTAAGAAAAAACATCACCCTGAGAAGCATTTACCCTTGAAGAAGCTGTGAAAGGCAGCGTAAGAGCAGGCAGCGCATGAGAAGGTGGCACAGCAAAGCAACACCACGTGGCTGTTGGGTGGCACCAGGCACTGACACGCCGTGCCTCCAGAGAGGGGCTGCCTGGGCACGCAAATTAGCCACAATAAACTCCTTTCCTCTTCCCAAACCTAATATTCTTAACAGCATACATGCACTAAATTGGAATCCTGCCTCGTTTCTGGCAATGCATACCAATGAGGCTAAACTGAGGAGAAAGGAAAAGGAGGCTTTTTTTTCTTCCTTTCCAGTTTATCTGTTAGGCATGCTCAGGAGTTACCCCTATATAGAGGGTTATTCTATGGAGGAGGAGTATCATATAGATGTTGTAATTCAGGGCAAGTAGTACTTGCCTGTCATAAGCATTATGCTTTACTTCATCATATGGGAACTCACTGTTGCTGAAACTCATTTGAGAAATGGACTATGAATTTCACACCCAAAGGTATCTTGCCTTATCTCTCCGCTGAAGAGAAGCTGTCTTGGACGTTTTGGCCTCGTTTATTGGGTTACAGGTGGTAAGCTGTGTCAAAAGCTGAAAAATGTCTCACGTGACACATTTGTAAACTCAGATTACAGTTTTCTGGCAAAACTGGGTGAAATATAAAGTATTGATGCTTACAGAGTGGAATTTGGAAGGCAATAAATACTGGGTATTACACAGAGCCTACAATCTCAGCAAGAAGCTCAAGTGAAGGACGTTTAGATTACACAGGCTTTGAAGAAAGGATCTTGCCTCCAGGGGAGTTCATAAAATACCACGGCCACTTTTGCTGCGATGTTAACAGCAGTAAGAATAACTCTAAGATCTGAAAGAAAAGACAGCTACTTATTCATTCTGTTGGTGTTACCCTGAGACAAGAGGATGTAGCAGGCATCCGGCTGTATGAAATGTGGAAAGCTGATAAAGACAGAAAACCATTTATAATGCTGTAATTTGGATCTAAGACAACAAATGTTCAGATCTACGTGTGTGTGTATGTATTTCAACAGAATATCTCAATTTATATTTTTTTTCATTAAACTAGTGGGAATTTTCTAAATAAAATAGGCTAAACCAGTACAAATGGCTGCAAGGTAATCAAAGACATTTTTATGCTTCATTTTAGTTACATAATCAATTTCACTAATTTGGCATAATTTCACAATAGAAAACTTGAAGAAAGATTTAAATACTCTTAAGATTGAGGATTTAAGATCTGCTCTGTTGAACAAATGCTGCTTTTCTAACACAGATCCTTTCTGAGAACAGAATAACACTCAATTGGAGGCAAACAATATCATCAAGGCTTTATGCCCTTCACAGAATATAAGCTTTTTCTCTTTTCTTCTCATACCACCTCTGAGAAGCTAGCTTTTTTTGGTAATTTCAATTAACAAGCTAAATACTTGATAATGTAAATATTTTATTGTAGTTGAAGATGAGGACTAGAAATAAGAAAAAAAATTCTAAGATTGGTGACAAACTCTGATGAGAAGCTGTGTTTTGCTCATATTCTCAAAAGCTGTTACTGCTCTATGCGTATTTTCTTACTTTTAGTTTCTCTCGAGTAATAAGAATAAAATCAAACTACAGGAGAATATTTCAAGTTGCTGTGTTTCTTTCTGACTCAAGAAAACCCATAAAACTGTTACAAATCTTTACTGATGACTTGGCAACCAGGACAGAGCTAAGTACAGCAGGATGCACTTGATATAGTCACTGTTGTGTCTTACTGGGTTACATCTGTATTAGCCTCTTTTAGCACCAAAATGACGGATGGTCAATGACTGCTGGTATGAATCAGCAAAAAATCAGTTTATACTAGTGGAAGGGTCTTGTCTTTTAGGAATAGCAAAGCATGGATTTGTATCCATCTCATGCCACTGGTCTCTAACTGTTAGAATACACTGTGCAGTTATACTTGAAGCTATTCATTTCCGTTTTATTAGCAGTAAACTTAGAGTCCCTGAGAATGCAATCGGAAACCTTACGAAGTTAAAAGTCGTGCTGCGAGATGCTCCACCAGCTCCAGCTGTTTCACGCTGCCATGGTGATGCACGCTGCCCTGGATTCAGCACATCTGTCTCCATAAATCGTGTTTATGGGTGCTCAGTATCATTGCAGACACAATGTAGAATGAAAAGCCTGTTGTGTATAAGCTACAGCCTGGCTCCTTCTCTTTAATGATGTGATTTAAGATAATGAAGGAAGACATTACATTTTATTCAACAAATATATTGCATCTGTAATGGGTGAAGTGAGTTTTCAAGGGCTCACATGAGATGTGTTCACCTGTCCATTTTTCCCCCAGGCTGGCTTAGCCTCCCTCCCTTTGTGGTCCTGGGACAGAATGCCAAGCACTCTGCTGCAAACACATCTGTTTCCTAAGTGAATATTTTAAAGGCACCCTTCAGAACAATCTGATTGTTTCACTCAAAGATAGAAATGTAAATGAGCAGCCTGTGAAGATGCCAGTAATTGCAGCAGGGCCAGCTTCTGGCATACTTGCCTATCCTGTACTCGCTTTGTTTGGCTCCTTCTGGATTAATCCTACAATCCCTTGCGTTTTGACCCTGTGAGATGTTGGACCTGACAACTCACATAAGCCATGATGTGGCCTTACCCTTATATGTGATATGAATACAACATTAAAATACTGTCGCCTATGTGGCTGCTTGGAGGGCTTTCCTGGCAGGGTAACTAACAGATCTACAGGCAAATGGAGAATAAACAATTAACAGCTGTCCCTCAACTGGCTTCCAAAGGAAGCAGGCACCAGACATAAAATTAAACTGGGCATATTGCTCCCAAAATAAAGATGGAAAACTTAGCAGAGGAGGAAAGTTATTCTACGAAAACTTTTATAATTTGATTTTTAGTGATAAGACAATGTCCAAATAATTAGAGACATCTGTTTCTGCTTTCCAGCTGGTGAGATTAATAAAAATTCCAATGCAGAAACAAAAAATCGTGGTCAAAAACCAGGAGGGCAAGGGCAGGTCTTGTTCAATGGGAAGGGGTAGAAAATAATGGATCAAATTCAGAAATGATGGTATTATTGGCATTAGGTGGATATAAGAGTATCTAAAGCCTTGTTTATGCTCTGATTTTGGTCTCGGATGCAAGCTCATCTTGTGGAAACGATTTACATTGAAATGAGCTTAAGTGCGGGCTTGCTTACATGGGGGATTAACGTGCACTAACCAGGGAGTGAATTAACAGCATAGCAGCCTCCCTGTGCTGACCTGTTATGTGGATTCACAAAGCAGATGTTTGATTTCACTGTACAAAAAAAATTAAGTCTATACAGTCATGCCTGGAAATTTTGACTAAAACCAACAAACAATGTTTCAGTATGGTGAGATAGGAGTGGTCCACATGTGCCAGTCTGCAGATGTTTTTGAAGCAGTTCATTGAACTACTTGCCAAGTTCCTTGTAATTTCACTGGCGGTCAATGCAAGAGGTAATTTCAGTGTGAAGCACCATCTGGTTTGAAATTACAACAAAATTGGGGGCTTAATGACTATCTCGTACATATGAGCTCTTGAATCAGCAAACAGAAGACCATTGCTATGTGGCAACTATGGTGGAGCTAGTGATGGTCAGATATTTTTCAAAATATGATGTATTTAAAATTAATACTTACAGAAAATATTAATATCAAAAAAAAACCCAACTTTGCTTGTTCTGGTTAACTGTACTGCATTACAACACCACGCAGTAAATATAGATTAATTTGGTTCTCAAAGTCAAATCAAATGGAAAATTTGCTTTTCTTATCAGTCTCCAAGTGGCACACTTCTTCTGCAGCTTGTTCCAATCAGTTCACATGCCAAAGCCAAGAGCACTCAAACACGTATTTCTAGCACACATTTAATCAAGAAGACAATTGGTTTAGCAAACTGAACTGTGAATTTGATGCAGTTCATCCAAAAGTGACAAATAAGAATAGGAACTGCCAGTATTGCGTACAACAAACAGCAAACACAGTCGGGTACCAAAGTCAGGCATCCGCTCCAGACCTAGACAGGTATTTATCCAGATTAAGATAAGTTTGCTTAAAAATCCTGAGAATTTTTTGTATGATAAAACATATACCTAATTAATTCAATTCCAGCAAGTGCTTCTGGGCTGTTACTGAACTGGACAGTCAGTTGAAAAAAAATAAATTAATATTTTACTTCAAGACTCGTTCGGGGCATATATCCCTAAGATCTCATGTTTAGCATATCCCCTGCTTTGACAAGATACTTTCTTTCAAGTCCTCAATATCTGTGCTTAAACTCTTTCTCATAGTTGCAAGCAATCGGATGGCACATGGTTGGGGAGATAGAAAAAAATCTTAAAAAACCTTAAAGAGAAAACCATCAAAACCTGATCAAGTTCTCAATATCATGAGAATAAACCAGTTAGATACTCAACAAGATAGGCAAACCGAGGTGTCTACATGTCCAGCCTTATAAGTCAATGTAAGCAAGAGGTATTAATAATTCCTATGTTTTATAATTTGACATGATATAAAAATGATTCACACGAGAATAATACAACAATCAGATGTAAACAATAAAAGTGAAAACAAGTGAAGTTTTAATATCTGTCTGCTTGTTACAAAGCTACCTAAGGGCATATTTTCATCTTTCTGGAGACCGAGTAAAAGTAAAGTCTATTTACTCTTTACTTTAAAAAGTAAAGTCTATTCTGGAAAGCACATGGATGTCACTTTCTATGTACATCCCCAGCCACACCACTGAAATCAGTCACAAGAGACACATTTTCTTCTCCAAGTACAGAAAAAAAGAAGAAAAAAAAAGAAAAGAGAGCAACAACAAAAAAATCAGCCCAGCAGAAAA